AAGGTACTATTCTCCCATTTCAAAGATAAGAAAACTGAGGCTTGGCTAGTGAAAGGGAGGGCTAAGATTAGACTGTGTGTGACTCCAAGGCCATGTTCAAGGACTGCCTTCATCCTCCTCTGTGGGGCCCCATTTGGCCCCCTGCACCTCAGCCTCCCTCCTTGAACAGATCATGTACTTCCCCACCTCTGTGCCTTTGCACATTCTATTCCCGCTCTCTGGAATGCTCTTCCCACTGCTTGCCTCTCTGGCTAACTTGGATTCCATTTGCACAAGCCTTCTCAGTGTCACCTCTCGGGGGTTTACCTGACAGCCCGTTGCAGATTTGTTCTTCAGAGCTTCACTCCCTACTTACCATGCTGGTAAATTGTTTCTACTGTAGCGTCTATACTGTAGGTTGTAACAATGTGTTTACTGCGAGCTCCATGAGGGAGCCTTGCATTCCCAATTCCTAGAGCCCTACAGGCCCCAGAGGCACTTACCCACGCCTGTTGGACTGAGGTTAAGGGCTTAGGACACCGTGTTTGGACTAAAGAATATTCTGACCTGAGGAGTAGGTCCTGAGCAAAGAGAATCTCCTGTCTCCTGTGTGGGGTGGCGATGCGGGATAAAAGAGAAAGGCTCAAAGTCCCCACTCCTGGCATGAGAAGAGGAGTCCTTTGACCCTCCCGGGGGGTAGCGGTGAGCAGGGGACTGGGCCAGGCTATTTTCCAGGGTGTGGCCTTGGGCACGTTACACCACCTCTTGGACCTTAGTTTCCTAATATGTGTAATGGGAACAATAATCTCCGCCTCAGGTGGGTTTTGGGGGATCAGAGAAAACATGGGTGAAGCATCTGGCAGTACCGGGCCCACAGAGATGAATACCAGATCGCCTCCTTGCTGGGGGGTCGAGAGAGGCAGCAGAACAGAGACAGACGGCCACTTGCCTATGGTCACCAGCTCACCTCCAATTAATAATTAGCAGCTGTGTAGCAAGGGCGCCTAGCTGTGCTCACACCCGTCCATGGCCGCGTGTAGCAGGCTGGCACAGAGGTGTGAGTGAGAGCGCAGTCAGAAGTGGCTGGGAGGCATGGAGAACGGAGGCGCAGACTCGGTGAATTCCAGTGCGCATTCTCCAAGGGTGAGGTCACCACCTCCAGCTCCCTGGGGCTGCCCAAGCCACAGGCATCCTGAACAGCTCTGGGGCAGGAGGCAGCGGGGTCAGGGGGCAGGGCCAGGACACAGGGCCCTGCAAGCCCCATGGCCTGGTACAGCGATGGCCCCTCCCATGGTGGGTGCTGGGGCAGCCTGTATTGTCTCGGGCAGCCGGGTGTTTCCTGTTTAAGAAGTGCCTTAGCAGAGGAAAAGCAAAGCAACTACACTGTAATGCTTCTTGAACTCCCACCAGGGGCTGGAGTGCTTCCATGTGCCCCCCACCCCCATTTAATCTGCATGATGACCTCACTTGGTAGCGAATGCTATTAGCCCCATTTTGCAAATGGTGTAACTGAGGCTCAAAATAGTGAAAAACCTTGGCCAAAAGGGAAAGCAGTACAGCTAAGAGACTTTGCAATCAAACACACCTCAGTTCAAATCCAAGCTCCGTCACCCACAGATTCCAAGTTCCTTAGCTCTCTGGGACTCAGCTGCCTCATCTGTAAAATGGGGATAGCAATAGTTTCTACCTCTTTGGGTTGTTAAAAAAACTCAATGAGATGATACTTGTGACATGCTCAGAACAGGGCCTGGGACATGATTATCTGCATTTTACTGAGATGAAAACTGAGCCTCAGAATGGTGAAGTAATTTTCCCAAGGTTACACAACTGTTGTTGTTAGGTACTGTTGAGTCGGTTCCAAACCATAGCAACATCATGTACAACAGAACAAAACACTGCCCGGTCCTGCACCATCCTCCCAATTGTTGCTATGTTTGAGCCCATTGTTGCAGCCACTGTGTCAATCCATTTTGTTGAGGGTCTTCCTCTCCTTTGCTGACCTTCTACTTTACCAAGCATGATGTCCTTCTCCAGGGACTGGTCCCTCTGATAACATGTCCAAAGTATGTGAGAGGAAGTCTTGCCATCCTTGCTTCAGAGGAGCATCCTGGCTGAACTTCTTCCAAGACAGACTGGTTTGTTCTTCTGGCAGTCCATGGGATACTTAAAAGGTTACACAAACAGTAGGTGGCAAAGCCAGGGCTTGAATCCAGATCTGACTCTTCCTGCTTTACTTACACCACTGTGGAGTGGTTGATGGTGGCCGCAGCTTCCAACAGGCTGCCAGGAGGTGACTGGTGAGGCGAGGCTGCTTGGAACAGCCAGTGCCCAGATTTCCTGCGGAGCTATGGAGCCAGCCCTGGGGATGGGGGTGTGGGGTGACACCTGCGAGGTGTTCCAGGCAGTAGGAACTGCGGCAGCTTGCCTGGAAGCCTTGCTTGTCCTGCAATATCCTGCCTGCCTCGGACATGGCCCCAACATTGTTTCTGGGCCTTCCCAGTACACTTTAGGGATTTCCGGCAGCCTGTCCAGAACCACCTTCACTTTCCGGAGAAGCTGGGGCAGGCAGCTCGGGGTGGGGACAGAGCTGGACCCAGTCCCTCGGCCTGGGCAGGGCTTGCTGGGAAGGGACTGGTGGTCAGCACTGTCAACATCCTCTTGAGCTAACAGGCCCCTCCTCAGAGACGCAGCTGTCCTACTCACGCACCTCTCCGGAAGCCGCTGAAAGAAAAGGCCTTGACTTGTTTTCACTTTAGGGCTGGCTGAAGTCGGGGCACTTGACGCTGTGACCTGAGCAAGTCGCCCCGAGCACACCCCGCCCCTTTGTGCCTCAGCCCCTTATGAGGAACACTGGACGAGCCCAAGGTCCACTCACGCTGGGCCATGAGCTCAGGAATGACCCCATCTGCTGTGCTGAGGGACCTTCAGAGCGTAAGGTTCTTGAGGTTGGTGTTTCCCTCCCGTCTTCGGTATGTTTGGAAGGGTCCCGTGTTAGTGACCACCAAATCTTTATTCCAAATGCTTCTAGACACGATGATGCTCTCTGATGGCGAGCCATTCCTGTTTGGAATGGTGTCTCAGTAACTCCCCTGCCGTCGCCCTGTGCTCAGTTTCCTCATCTGTAAAATGGGGATAACGCCTACCTGGTAAGGTAGTGTGAGGGTTACATGAGAGAACGCAAGGAAAGGAGACAGCACAGCAAGCCCAAGTTTCCATCCCGTCTGAGGGCCTGGACGAACCCAACGCAACTGGACAAACTCTATACCAGAACACACGTACAGAAGCTGCATCCAAGGACCTCTGGGCTGATGGAGTGTGTGGCCTCGCCTCCCTTTCCTGGGTGCCCCGCCTGGTTGCTGAAGACTCTCAGCAGGTGTTTATGCTTCATAGGGGCTGGTCAGGTCTCCTCTGTCCCTAGCAGGCACCAGGCCTTGCAGCTGCACTGCCAACCCCTCTTCCACAGGCCCAGGAGCCAACAAGCCCCCCAGGGGTGACGGAGCAGCTGTAGGCACAGAGCCAGCAGTGTTCCTGGTGAGGTCGGCGCCTGGAATTAGTCAAACAAGCTCACTCCGCAGACCTGTACACACAGCCAGTGACTCAGCCACGCACAGCCCCAGGCAAAGCCTGCCAAATGGGCCACCGAGGCAGTGCCACAGCACACCTTTTAAGGAGGAGCTGGGGCAGGGCCCCCTCTGGCCCTTGAGGCCTCCACCAGCCCTCCTCCACACCTACTTGGGGCAAAGAGGTCAGACGCCCACCTGGGCTCACACTTGGCCCTGTCACTTTTTAGGCTTGACCTTGGGCAAGTCGATGTCTCTGAACTGGTTTCTTCACTTGTGATATGGAAATAATCCTTGCCTCACAAGAGAGGAATTGAATGAGGTCATGTGTGTAGAGTGCTTGGCAAACAGCACCTTTTAAGGAGCGGGTGAGTGCAGTGGGAAGGGTGAAAGGGCTCGGGAGTCAGGGTGCCTGGTTTGGCCCTGGTCCCACCCCTTCTAGCTGTGTCTGAAACAGTTACTCAACCTCTGCCCATAGTCCTCGCTGAACAGCCGTCTGTGAACTGAGTGGAAACCACCGGCCTGCTGAACGTTAGGGCATACCCACCACGTTTTATTACACGGCTTTGAGGCGCAGCGAGTCAGGCAGCGAGGTGGGCTTTGGAGCTGGCTTCACATGTAAAACGGGGAAGGATGACAATGCTAGCGCCTGCCTTGCGGGCTTCCTGGGATTAGGGCACGCCTAATGGCTGACTGTCTAGACTTACCTTACTCACAGCTCCTGGCTTCTGGGGAGTGCTCACTGGACAAGCTCCCTCTCCACCAAGGCCAGCTGCTGGGACTGTCTCCCCTCCATGGATATGCCTCTGGCAGACCCTGGCTGCCACCTGTGAGCCAGTCCTTGGCTCCCGTATTACACACAGCAACTGCCCTAGGCAGGCCTTGGGCGCCCCTCAGACCCCAGGACAATTCAGGCAGTTCTACTGGGACAGGGCGGAGACAATGCACATACAGGGCCCACAGCAACCCAGGCCTGAGGGAAGGGTGCCGGGACCCCGTTGTCAGCACCTGAGGCTCCCAGGAGGCTGTGTCTCGGTTCAGCCCCCAGGGAGAAGGTGGCAGGAGGACTTTCTTGACTGGCAGGCCTGATTTGACTAGCACACTCTCCCATGACCAAGGGGCTGGGAATGAGAAGGGCTGGAGTCTGCCGCCGAGGCTCAGTGGTCCCTGTGGGCACACACAGGAAGGACAGCCAGGCTTCCGGCAGGAACGGCCAGGAGTGTCAGGGAAACAGGAAGCCCCAGAAAGATCAAGGGGGCTAGCTGTCAAGAGCTCAGGCTTCAGAGGCAACCCCAGCTCTGTGACGGGAGCCCCAGGGCCCTCAACTGCATAACAGGGCCAACACCATCTTGCCCTGAGAGGGACAAGGACTGTGTGTTTGAAGCAGGTACCCCCCCCACAGCACCCACCACTGACAGCAGGATTAGTAACAGGAGGGGCTGGCTAAGCGGAAGACGGTGGCAGAAGTCAAAGGAAGAAACGGGACAGCAACCCAGCCCAAGGGAGGGTCCCACATACTCTTGCTGCCCAGACAGAACTGGAAGCTGTCAACAGTGCAAACCCTTGTTTTATTGGTCTGATTTGTTCACAGTTCAACTGCCTGCTCAGAGAACTGAAGGGCCAGCAAATGAGGAGGGAAGGTGGTGTCTGGAACCTTTCCGAATCAAGAATCTGCAGGTTCCCCAGCCCTCGTGCCTAGAAGGAAGGTGGGAGGAAGAGGAGGTGGCCTTTGGGGGGTGGGGGTGATGACTGGGTAATTTTAGAGTGGGGCCCAGGGCCTGTTCTTCACAGCAGAAGGCAGAAGGGACCATAAAGTTCTTTATTACAGACCTATAAAAAATGAGAGAATTATGTATATATTACTCTCACTTGTTTGGATTTCTTGTTTCCTTCTTTTTCTTTTTACAAAACAGTAGCAGGAGAAAAAAGGCAGGAGGCAGACAAGCCAGGGCTGGGTTCAGATCCAAACGGGCCAAGGAGAAAAGGACCAAGGTCTTCTGGCCCCAAGGAACTGGCCCCACAGGCTGGCCCCTCCTGCAGGCAGGCTAGCTCCCTGCCTCTTGAGGAGACTGCCCCAGCCCTGGAGGGATTGGAAGAGGGAGGTGGGCGGGAAGATGGCTGTCCCAGGTCAGCAGCAGCACTTCCCCTGTCGGCCACCCCGAGGCCTGGCAGCACTCTGGGCTCTCATGTATGGAGGCCTGGTCTCCCAAGCACAGGCCCCCAGGGGCAGACAGAGGGAGATGGCAGAAGGGGCATCACAGAAGGGCTGGGAGTTCTGTCGAGGTCCCTCCCCGGGACCACGGGGTCCCAGGTGGGTAAGGGTGGTCAGGACGCTTCCCTGCTGGTCAGCCAATCAGCTTCTTCAGGAAGGCCTCCAGCTGGTCCTCATCCTTGATGCCCACAAACTTGTCCACCACGTCTCCATTCTTCATGGCCAGCACAGTGGGCACGGCGGACACCTGGGTGGAGGGAGACAGTTATTCACAAGGACAGCTGTCCTCAACCGCTATTCCTGAGCCTCTGTGGGTTGGGCAGTGGCAGCCCCCAGCCACAGTGGGCACAGAGGCTCTTCTATTGCAGCTGGAGACGTTTCTTTCCTTTTGGCTCCCAGCAGTTCCCTTCCCCCGCAACCACACGCCTGACTCACTGGCCCAGTGGTTTGGCTGCAATGACAGGAGAGATGAAAATAACCCGCGCAGCTGCAGGCCAGGGCCGGGCTGGGGCCACGGGATTGGCACAGAGGAAAGACCGGGAGATGTGGCTTTGCCACTCATTAGCTGGGGGCCTTGGCCAGCTCACGTCACCTTCCTGAGTCTCAGTGTCGTCTTCCACAGCAGGGATGATAATACTTACCTTGAGCACTCGGGACAAGGATTAAAGACTCATACAAAAGAGCTGAGTGGTGAGGCGCTCAGGCCCTGGAGCCGCAGACGTGATCCTGGGCCTCCAGCTCCCACTAGCGGGGCAATCATGCCATTACTCTAAGTCTCAGTGTTCTCATCCGCAAAATGGAGGCACTGACGGTCCCCGGCGGGGTAAAATGGTTAACAAGCTCATGAAAAAGGCCTGGTGATCTACTTCTGAAACATCGGCCATTGAAAACCCTATGGAGCACAGTTCTACTCTGACACACAGAGGGTCACCACAGAAGTCAAATCGACAGCAACAGTACTTCTATCAGAGGGCGCGAGGACCAAATGACATGATGTGTGTGGAGTGTCAGCGCAGCGCCCCGCACACGGCAAGGCGGCCAGGAAGTGCCGAACCTGGCACGGTGCCTGGCACACAGTGGGCACTCACCAAATGGAAGCTACAGAGGGTATGTTCAATGCAGGGTCCCTCCCCCGCAAACCCATGACAGCCAGTTTAGCCTGAGGCCGTGAGTGGCTGAGAGGATCCAGGCACTGACTTCCGCTGGACAATGTGGGAGAGGGGCTCGGCAGATCCAGTCTAACACCTAGCTGTTTTATGAGGGGCGGGAGGCAGATGGGAAAGGCAATGTTCCTGGCCTCTGAGCCATTCACTGAGGATCCCTCAGGGGACCGGTACAGATTACATGGTATGTCAATGAGACCCACAGCCACACGGCAGCCCTCACTTCCCCTCTATTCTCCTGCCTGGCATTCAGGGGCACTTGAAAAACCGTATAAACAACAAGATAAGCTCCAGATTTGTCTTCCACACAAGTTAACTACAAAGTCACAATAGCAATTTATACAGCCGTACTAGCCCTTGAGTGCTGCCCTGCCCAGGAGCCTGGGGAAGCCAGACTGAAGATTTAGAACGTTCCAATTGTGCATGTTAATTTAAAAAAGGGAGAAGCCGTGCCAGGCCTGGCCAAGTGTGCGTCTCGGCAGGCCACCACCCACTCACTGACTTCACCTTACGGCCTTGCACCCACTCACAGGTGAGATGGCCCAGGCCCTGTCCGTGCCAGTGCCTCCAGGCGCCTAGGGAGCTGTCCTGGGCTGGTGTGGGTGACAGCTGACACACTTCTCAGGGGGTGTGTGCCAGCTGGCTGACTGGTGCTGGGCAGAATACACATCACTGCTCATGGTCCCCACTGATGGCTCCTGTCTTTGTCGTTCTTGACTCCTGTGTGGGTGGAGGCACGAGGCGCCCAAGGCCCAGCACACGCCTTGTCCTGTCTGCAGCTGCACCACCACCTTCGCAGTGTCTGTCTCTTGCGCCCTCTAGTGGTCAGTGAAGGCAGCTAGGTGCCTCAACCGAGGCACAAAGCTAACTACTAGCTGTTCAACTTAGCACTTTTTGGACACCACCTTGTACTTTGATTAATTAAAATAAAAGCTTCATTCCATTATGCATGAAGTGGCCTAATTTTTTCACACGTGTGAGTTGTTTCTCTAGCAGGACTCTAAGCTCAATGAGGTGGGGACAACCAAACATGAGTTTTCCTCAAGAACGATGGGTGATGTCCCATCATGATGGCATTTGTGTACACTCACGCACATGCCTGTACATGCGTGGACCATGCTGCAGAGCAGACTTCAGTCAGGTAGACAGCAGACAAGCGACAGATGTATTTTCATGATGACCAAGGTCTGGTCGTTACTACCAAGGGGAATCTGTGAAGTCTGGGTTTACAAGAGGCACAGAGTAGGGGCCCTGCAGGCAGCTTGCTTTTCCAGGACATTGCAGGGACACCTGGGCTGTGACTAACGAGGGGCTGGTGCTTGTAAACATTCCCTGAAATGAAGCACACGGATTCTCAGCAATCCTTCTGGAATGGTGATACAGGTGTGAGGGGCTGGGTGGACCAAGGACTCGGCTTCTCTCTCGGTTCTGGCAGGATCCTGCCAACGGGCCCGCTCCAAAGGGAACTGAGGGCCGGAGAAAAGCTAAGACGGGCTGCATGGCCTCCTGTGCCTGAGCAGACACCAAGAACTCAGGGCAGGTGTGGGCAGGTGCACAGAGTCTCTCCCCACTCACTAGCTGCCCACCTGCAACACCACTGAGCTCAGGGTCCCTGCCAGTCAGCTCTGTCTCGCCCCAGCAGTTTCACCCACTTGTGAGCTCTGGTAGGGACCTAGCAAGGGAAAGGCACAGCTGGGTACCACAGGAGCCGTGCGGGTGCCTGGCAACCTTCTCCTCAGCTAACGGCAGAACCAGCACAAAGAAGAAGATGGCTGTGACTCTGCTGCCACACGCTGGGGGATTCCCGAGTGTCAGGCACGCCACTAAGCACTTGCATATGCGATCTCATAAATTCTTTCCTGAAGTAGGGCCATTTCAGAGATGAGAAGACTGAGGCTCCAAGGCCGAGTTCCAAGATTAAGTGGTAAGTTAAGTGGTAGAACTGGGATTTGCAACCAGATTTGTCTGACTTTGCTGCCAAGACAAATGATGCTGTGCCTCCGACCAAGGGCAAGGAATCAGAGGTAACTGCTGAGCCCCCGTAGGGTGGGGGAGAACACATGGGGAGACAGCGAAAGGGCTTCCTGATTCAAAGGAGAAACTCCAAATGTCTTGTAAGACCTTTTGGATGCAAGAGGGTTCTTGGAAAAGCTATTATCGAGAAAAGCAAATCACCTGTGGACACTATTCACCCCTTTACTTCAGGCCCCTGCCTCTCCCCACATGGGGAGCACAGAAAATACACGACTTGATGAGCTACAGGGGGACTTTTGGCTCAAAACAACGAAGCGTTGTCCAAGGATGGAAAGGGCTGCCACGGGTGAGAACCAGAAGTTGGATGACCACCTGGCTGTGAAGTGTAGTGGGAACCTGGGCTGACAACCGGTGGTGGGAGGGTGGTGGAGGGTCAGGGGCTGTGCCAGGTGACCTTTAAGGTTACTTCTGCCTCAGAGGTTCTAAAACTCGGATTCCGTGAAGGGGCCGGGCAAGGATGCCTGGATCTGCACCACCTACACAACAGAGAATACTGCCCCCTACACAGCACAGTTTACAAAGTGCTTTCCCTGAATTTAGAGTCCCTGGCTGGTGCAAATGTTAAAACGTTTGGCTACTAACCAAAAGGCTGGCAGTTCAAGTCCACCAAGAGGAGCCTTGGAAGAAAGGTGTGGCAATCAGCCCTTGAAAACCCTATGGAGCACAGTTCTACTCTGACACACAGGGGTTGCTGTGAGTTGGAGTTGCTGCCAAGAGCCCATGAGCAGCCCCTGCTGAGAACAGCAGGTGAGACAAGGGCTTTAGAAGAGCATCCCTTCCCTAGAGGGCCAGCCCAGGGCTTCTGGAATCTTTGTTTCTCAATGTCTGGTCTAGGACCACCGGCATCAGCATCACTTGGGAGCTTGGTAGAAATGCAGAATGTTCCTGGGCCTCCTGAATCATAATCTGCTTTTTAATAATACCCCAGGTCACTCACTTATATATACATTCAAGTCTGAGAGGCACTGATTAAGAAAGGATACTTTCAACGTAGGGCGATATGGAAATGATCAGAATACTGTACACTCCAATTATCTAATATTGTGCATTCAATAACCTCATGAGATACATTATATTTAAAAAAAAAAGTGTACAAATTTACTTACACAAGTGTATATGAGGTCATATAGAACACTAAAAAGAAAAAGAAGTCAAATAAAAAAACTCAAATGGATCACCCAGTTTGTTACTAGTGATTCTGTTTGAACAGTAACGTCACAGGTGACTTCTTCCCCCCTTATTTTTACTTGGCTGTATTTTCAAATTAAGGAGCCCTGGTGGCGCAACAGTTACATGCTCGGCTGCTAAGCAAAAGGCTGACAGTTGGAACTCATCCAGCGGCTCCGCAGGAGAAAGACCTGGCAATCTGCTCCCATAAAGATTAGAGCCTAGAAAACCCTATGGGGCAGTTCTACTCTCACATGGGGTCACTATGAGTCAGAATTGCCTCGATGTCTCCTAACATTTTTTTGTTTCTTGTAATTTATTTTGTTGTTGTTGAGAATATACACAGCAGAACATACACCAATTCAACACTTCTACACGTACAATTCAGTGACGCTGACTACACCCTTCGAGTTGTGCAACCATCCTCACCCCCCTTTGCTGCGTTACTCCCCCTCCATTAGCCTAATGACATTTTCAAATGGCTTTTGCAGGGGCACTCACTTCTTTGCTAATACTAGAGAATAAGAGGCCAACACCTCTGAGCATGAGGCCAAAGGCACAGCCCTAGAGGACAGTACAAGGGACTGAGGGCCACATCCTGAGTCACTCTTTCCCTGCCTGTCACCAAAGAGCTGGCAGGGGCTGAGGGACTGGGGAAGGCCGAGCCCTTCAGCAGCAGACCAGGAGGCAGGGAGAGCAGAAAAGGACTGGAACACACATTCCTAGACCCTGAGGGACTTTCCCTTCTCCTCCCTAGGGGGACAGTGGAATTCTAGGGTGGGCAGTGGCTTTAGACATGAAAAAGGTGGTACAGCGGGTGGGGTGAGGTGACAGGAGAGCCTGGGAAGAATCGAAGTTAAAGTCGTTTCTCCAACAAGTTGACCCAACATTCAGAAAAGGACTTGAGGCTGAGGAGGAAGTGACCAAGGGGATACTGGGAATCTCTTAGCTGGAACGTCTTCCCCAGGCACGCCTCAAAAGAACAGGTGTAAAGGAAGGAAGGGGCAGGCAGGGGGCCGGGAAGAATTCCCCTCAGAGCTTCCTGAGCCCTGCAGTGATGTCAGCCCAGGCTCAGCAGGACAGGGAGGCTGGGGCCTAGGGCCAGCGGCCTCGTGGTCCTTCTGTGTGACTCGCACAGTATCTGGACAGTGACAGAGGAAGAAGAGCAGAAGTCCTGCCAGAGCCCCACCCCCTTTTCCAGGCTCAATTAGAGGACTTCAGTGCTCATCCCCATGTCACGGGGTGCCCTGGAACGCAGGTGGGGGTGGTCCTGGGCGCCCCGCCGCCCTCGTGACTGCCTCGGGCAGGATTCTTTGCATCCCTGCCTGTTACCACCGCTCCTGGCACATGGTTGGCCCTCGGGATGTGTCTGCTGAAAGACGACATTTACCAAGGCTGTAGCTGTGGTGGCTGGCAGTGCCGGGAGGAAGCCCGACATCCCAATTATGTCCTATAACCCTGTGGAAGGCCCTAGCAGCTCCAGCCCAAAGCTCACCCCAGGAGGCCACACCCTCACTCCGCAGCTGCTACAGGCCTCGGGATGAGTGACCAACAACTCTGGGGCAGCGAGCGGCGTTCGAATGGTCAGGAGTGCCCCCCTCGACCGAGGGATCGGTGGGAGAGCTTTTGAAAAACCAGCGGCTCGCCGGCCCACGGAAGCCTCGCGAAGTCCCACGGAGTCTTTTCCAGGAACTCTTCTCTGACCACCTGCAGTTGTCATCCAGTGGCTTTGCCTGCCCAGTGGATGTTTCCCTTGCACCTGGTGAGAGACCCTGACTTTCCTCTGGGGATTCTTCCCTCCCCAGCTCAGGGGGCAGCCCGTCTACTCTCCCTCCTCACCCCATTTCCTGCTACGGGGACTGGGTGGAGGATGGGCATCTGTCCTTGAGCTGGTTCACTCAGAGTTCAGCCTGGACTTCCAAGTTTGGAGAAAGGATGACGCGCCCTCTCTCAGCAGGGCTTGCTAAGCTGGGAGGCTGTAAGCCCACAGCCGAAGGGGACTGTGTCCGCCACCAGCTGGGGAGAGCCTGAAACCAAAGCTGACCCAGAGAAGAGTCAACAGACGGAAACAGATTCCTGCAGATGCTGCCTGAGCCTCTGGGTCCAGCTGTGCCTGAAGCTAACATCCTTGGAGACCTTCTGGTTATGTGAGCTGGTAATTCCCTTTGCGTTGGGTTTCTGTGGCCTGTGACAGGGAGTCCTGGCTCATACCCCTGCCCATCTCTCTCTGGCCATTGCTCAGGCCCTGAGGGTTTGCACTAGCCTCCTTGCTTGTCTCCTTCCTCCAGTCTTCACCCTCTTCAGAGCTCGCCTTCAGCTGCTGCCAGACGCAGCTTTCTGAGACTCACAGGCAGAAACAGACTGGGGTTTGCAAAGGTACCAGGATGAGGGTCGAGGGTGTGGGCGGGGACCCCGCTGAATTGGAGCTCGTCTCAGCCACCCAGTACCAGGAATGAAGGCTCCCTCTGGCCAGATCCAGGTGTTTTAAGAGAACCAGAAATCTGGACTTCATTGGAAAACTTCTGAGTTTCAATTATTGGCAGTGAGTTGGATTTTTTTTTTTTTTTAAACACTTCAAGGGCAAGACCAGACATGCCTGTGAGCCAGACATGACCCAAAGGTCGCTAGGCAGAGACCCTTCCCCTGTGGCTACAGTCTGCGTTCCCAGGCCCTTTCCTGCACTTCTTGGCCCTTCACTCAGGCCACCCAGCCACGATGAACTTCTCCCTTTCTCCAACCGCAGTGGTCCCCAAAGCCCAAGTGATCTCCCACACCCATCATCCCTGCGACTCTTCCTCTGGCAAGCTCTGCTCCAGGCACATGGAACCACCTCGTTCCGCAGACGGACCAGGCTCACCCTACCTCAGGGCCTTTGCATTTGATGTTTCTTCTGACTGAACAGCTCTTTACCATAGTGCTGCACAGCTCACTCCCTTACTGCTCAAATGCCAGCTTCTCAGCAGGCCTTCCCTAGCCCACCATCTTAAAACTACACCCTCTCCCACCCCACACCCAGCACTCCCGTGACTCTCCTGATTGATCATTCTCTGTAGCACTTCTCATGATCTGATACAGGTGTCTGCAACCTACAGCCCAAATCCTGCCCACTGCTTGTTTTTGTAAATAAAGTTTTATTTACAGCCAAGCTCATTGTTTACATATCATCTACGGCTGTTTTGTGCTACAACAGAAGAGCTGAGTAGCTGCCAGAGAAGCTGACGCCCTGCAGAGCCTACAATATTTACCATCTACTGCTGTAGAGAAAAAAATTGTAGATCTCTGATCTGAACACATGGAGTCCTGGTGGTGCAGTGGTTAAAAAGCTACAGCTGCTAAACAAAAGGGTGGCAGCTGGAATCCACTAGCCGCTCCTTGGAAACCCTAGGGGGCAGTTCTACTCTGTCCTATAAGGTCGCTATTGCGTCGGAATCAACTTGACAGCAACGGGTTTGGTTTTTTTGATTTGAACACTAAACTGTAGGCACCAAGAAGGCAGGGACTGTCAGTTTTGTTCAATGCTATACCCTCAGCTCCAAGCAACGGAGTCCGGCATTGAAGGAACTCTCAATGAGTGTCTGTTGAATGAATGCACAAACCACAGTAGACTGCACCGTGTCTCTGTGTGCGCTGCCCACCCCCTCTTCCTCCTCTGTGTGTCCTTCAGCCCTCCTCAGAGGGCCCTCTATGTGATGCACTCCCCACCCACCCCTCTCCTCTGTACGTCCCCTCCCTCAGCACCCTCCCCCTACACTGAAATGACCCATTTACCTGCTGCTGGCTCCCACTACACTAAGAGCTGCTTGGGACAAGGTCCCATCTTATTCCTTCAGAATCATGAGCGCTAGACACACTAGGGCTCCCAAGTGACTGTGGACTGATCATGTGGACAAACGATGGATGACGGAAGGAATGAACGCATCAAGTGTTCCAAGACTCAGAGAACTGGTGCCATGGGCCATATATGTGTTAAAAAAAATGCTCCCCCCCACCCCCCGCCCCATTTAAACTTAACTCTTAACCCTCTCACGGAAAACAGAAACTCATGATAAAGACAGTCCTGGGAAGTTTAAATAATTAGATAAGTGATAACTGGCCTATGGAATGCAGACATGCCAGCTTCATAAAGCAATCCAAGCCACCTCCTAAGTGAGTGACAGCCACTCCTTGTTAAATTTTCCTTTCAGGAAGTCCTATAACAGGCTGTACTGTACAGAAGCTGATCAAAATGGTAATGTGACCAGCTCATCTCTGCGGACAGGTGCTCCCTGTTTGCAAAGTTTTTTTCTGCCCAATAAAACTGTTTAGCTCTATTGATCAGATTTTTTCTTCTGACACAGTCCACTGTCTAAAGCCAGTGGAGAAGAGAGACAAGCAGTTCCGAAGATTCATAGAGTCACATCTGCAAAGTGCTCTGAGCTCCTCAGAGCGTTAGAAAAAAATCAAGACATCCCCATACCAGCTGGCCTGTGGTCCCCAAGACATTTCCCATGCTGGCTGTCCCGTGGCCCCCAAGATATCCCCATGCTGGCTGCCCTGTGGTCCCCAAAATATCCCATATCGGTTACCCAGTGGTCCCCAAGACACCCCGGCACCAGCTACCCAGTGGCCCCCAAGACACCCCCCAACCCTGGCTGCCCCGTGGCCCCCAAGACACCCCCCCACCCTGGCTGCCCCGTGGCCCCCAAGAC